AAAACACACAATTCCAATCTTTGCAAAATCAAATATCTGTACTGCATAAGAACAGGAAACTCACTTATTTGAATTAAACAAGTACCCCCAGGTCTACCTGTAGCTATACCAAGTAGAGTAGTAGACTTCAATCCCGAATTAAAAAAAAACGACAGTTTGCTCGATTAACCTAAATAACCGACTAACTCTAGAAAAAGCAAGTACACTTTGCGTACCATGCCACGCCACTTCCTCCAAATCATAAGTCGGATTCGAAAGATGTCCTCCGTGTGTTCTCTTGTATTTGAAAGAATCAAAGCCAGCCGATAAAGCAACCAAAAAGAAGGGAAGAAAAAGAACAAGAACTAAATGGAAAAAAGAAACCTAAGGTCTTAAGTTGCTTGATGGTAAATGGGGCAAACTTCAGCTCTAACTGCAAATATGTACAAGAGGGTCTAAAAGTAAAGAAGGCAGTCACACAGGAAGATCATCCAAGCTGTATCCATCAAAGCTGAAATCACTTTCGCTCGGCATCAATCCTTCTGGCTGCAAAATGTTGGAAAAACCAAAAAGAAAAAAAAAAGAGAGATATAAGGATTTTATTAGAGGCTTTTTGGGGATTTTAGGGGAAATTTTGAAAAGCTACTCACAATTAATGGCAACAACAATAAACAACACTAACCTGCCTGAGAAGTGCACTCATGAGATCCTCCTGACCTAACTGATCCGAAAACAACCCATTCTGAAAGCCCACGTCACCCAACCTATCAGATTTCATTCGAGAAGAATTATCAGCTGACGATGAATTAATCGGAGGATTATTAATCGGATGAACAAGATTCGTATTATGGCTGCTACTGCTGGGCCCCTCAGCTGCCGAAAAACCTTCTCGGTTAACAAAAGACGAGACCCTACTCTGCTCGTTCGAAGAACCTGGCTGAACTAAAACTGATGGCCCAACATTAATCCGGGCTTGAGGCCCAACATGGTGAGGCCCGTCAAAGCCCGACAATCCCCACTCGTTGCCAAACACTTCATAACTCGACGTGCTCGGAATTCCCGGATTGCCAACCAGCGAAAAGCCATTATTACTGTTATTATTAATATTATTCACAGCAGCAGCAGCAGCAGAAGTATTGGTACTGACCGGAAAATTCGGGCGTTGACTTCTTGAAAAGTCAACGAAATTAGTGGGCCCACTCAGACCCGGGACAGTGGTGGCAATCGCCTGTGAGAAAGCGGGTTGATGATGAGTCAGCATTTGGGTTCTCAGTTGGGGGGTTATCGGTAAATTCACGTTCGTAAATGCCAGCTGTCTCGAGTCCATGCTGGTGGGGACTCCGTGGAGTAAATTCACTGGCCGGATTTGTGCGTTGGGGTGGTTTATCCTCTGGTTTTCAAAGCTGAATATATTCCGTTGGTCGATGTGGGATGATAAGGGAAATCTGTTTGTGGGGTTACGGTTGAGAGAAGCTGCCTGGATTGAGGCCAGGCTCTGTACTGGAAGTGGGCTTGAGGCAAGGGTGTGGAAGTCGAGCCCGTTTACGTTGAGTGGATTTAGTGGGCCGAACGATGGGTCGGTTGGGCCCATGTATGAGTTTCCGAGCCCATTCTGGTGCTGGCCGCTGAGTCTTTTGAGGTAAAGGCGATATTTCTGAACCGGTTGATACCAAAGTTATGAAGAAAGTTTTGAGATGTCAGAATAATATGAAAACTTGGAAAAAAATGGATAATATGATTCGAAAGAAGGTTAAAGGTAGGCATTTTTCTAACCTGTAGGTGGCTGGCTACATTCTCTCGAGAGAGGCCCGGGACACTCATTAATTCGAGGATTTTCTTGGGGACGGCCTCTGCATTAGGTTAACAAGTAAAAAGAAGCCCCATATGCATGGTATTTTTCTGTATTTCTTATGTCGATCATGTTATGAAGCAATTAACCAAAGTTGGCTTATTTGCTTAGCATAATTATTGGTAAATTGAAATTCAAATTTGGTTTGAAAGGAAAAGGTTATATATATGCCAACCACACGGGGTAATTATCTTAATACATAAACCGTTTTAGTCGTTAAAGGCAAGTCACATTTCTGCTAGACCAACTTCGTTCATTCTGGGGTTTTATGACATTTCTAGTTTATTAGTAAACCAAATGCGGCATATTCTTGGAGTTATGATTCAGAATGGCCAATTAGTATGGCGTTTCCCCATAAAACTGGAATTGTTTTGTTAATCATACTTTTATATTTTTCATCGTAAAAAGATTATTAGCAACATTCAACACGACAAACTCTGGAAATCTAACATTGCTTGATCATCTTAAGTTCGATAAATGCATAGTAGCTCTACGTAAGAAATAACTTACTAAACTACTTGTCACCCTTACCCCAATATGAAAAACATATCAATAAAAAAGAAAATAAAAGAAAAAGGGCAAAAGAGGAAACTCACTGTCTATCCCGAGTTGATTGACAGCCGTTACAAATTGCTGGTGAAGCTCGACTGACCAAACGACCCTCGGCTTCTTGAGAGTAGACGTGTCCTCCTTATCTTCACCTTCTTCATCCTCCTTCCTTCTCTTGGAGCTTTTCCAATTATTCCCTTCATTGGCCGAGGAAGAGTAATCCACATCTTCCTGCTTCGGCTGCCTTTCACCATCCTCCACACTTCCCGACTGTTCTTGTTCCTTTTCCTTCCATTCGTACTTCTTCTTGCGAACCACGTGTTGCCATATGTTTTTCAGAGCTTCCATGCGAACAGGTTTAATGAGATAGTCACATGCACCGTGAGTCACTCCTTTCATCACCACATTTTTGCTATCATCAGCCGACATCACTAAGCAAAACCAAAAACAAATGGATTAGCAAATATAGACAAACATATTGTCTTATCCTCGAACTTTTGCCTAATTGCTGCAGAAACTCATTTATGTTTCAGAATTTGCAAATACATACACAAATTGCAAGGTTTGGGATTATGTGTTAGATAAGAATGTTATATTTCGAACTTAGTGGATAATTTTTTTGCATAAGGAAAGAGTCATTAAATTAGCACTTACTGATGACGGGCAAGTCCATTTCGAGTCCAACGTGCTCAAGAAGCTTGAAACCATCCATATCAGGCATGTGTACATCGCTTATAACAATGTCAAACCCATCTTTGTTGTCCCTAAGCAACTTCAAGGCAATCTCAGCTCGACTACATTTGGTTACTGGAAAAGAAACCAATTACTGAATTATAAAGAAAATTCACATAATATGAGTTCACAATTCACCTAGTTCACAATTGAAGATTATGATACCAATAAATCCAAAAAACGTCCCTATATTTATGCGTGAGATCTAAAATTCAGTCCAAGAATAAATTTTGAAATCTGAACAAGTTTATTCTAGGGAGTCGGGTAAAGTCAAGTCACCCAAATGAATTGAAACCCATATTCTCACTCTAAAACACTATTGGAAACAGAAAACACACAAATAACGCAACAGGAACACAAGATATTACGAGATAAGATCTGTTGGGTATCCATATCTACTAAAAAACCGGCCCAAGAAAAACCCACAAAAAAAAAAAATCGAACTTACTAAACACCAAAAAGGCCACAATAACATAAAAATCAGAAATCCAACAGAACAAATTGCTCATGAGATGCAGACACAAGCACGAATAGACACATGTGTGTGTTGAGTTTATTAGATCAAATCAAAATTACCTTCATAAAAACAATTCTTAAGCATCTTCTCCAAGATTCTCAGACAAGTTGGGTCATCATCCACGACAAGAACCCTCAGACCCGCAGGAAATTGATCAGAAACTCCATCGCCGGACTTCCAAGAAACGCTCGAAGTACTAAAAGACATGGGATTCGCTCCAAGATTCATTTTTTTTTTTCAAGAAGTGGGGCTTAGAGATAATATGCAGGACAAACCCAGATGGGAAGTCGGTCGAAATTCATAGGTTGTGTAATACGCAGTCAATGAAAATCTACGAAACCCACGATTATAACATAGATAAAGAAAAGAGGTGGTGAGTTCAAGATTGAATTTTTTGTTCTAGTTATAGAAGGGTTTTTTAGGAGGAAGTGATAAAACTAAAGAATAAGGAACAAGATTACAGGAAGAAAGAGAGTAGAAAGTGCTTCTTTTATATCTGTTTGTGTATGTGCGTGATTGAAGAAATTGAAGGAGCCCTTTTCTCATCTCTCCTTCTCTCTCTCACTCTGTCTCTCTCTGTTATATGGGTTTATTAATTTTCTAATTATTCTCATTAAATATTATGGTCTCTTAATTTATTATTTATTGCATTTTTCCCATATTTTCTTCTTCTCTTTAATTTGTGCTTTTTAATTTCCTTTATAATTCTTTTTCATTATTATGGTTTTCTTTTTATATAATTTATTGCCCTTTTTCTTTTTCTTTTTTTCCCTTCTTTTTCTTTTCTTTGGGTTTATTAGTTTATTATTATTCTCTAGTTAACATGGTTTTCTTGACTTATAATTTTATTTAATTATTTATTCCTTTGTGTTCTCATAGTGGGTCACTTCTTGGAGTGCGGATCCAGCTCAGCTTTGAGCTCAACAAACCCCACGCCAGCCGAAAAATAATTATTTATTTTCAGTTCTTTTTGGTAAATAATATTTCCTTTTTATTAGGGTTGTGGAAAGTGTGTTCTTCTATTTGTAGCAAACTTTTGTTTATATTAGGTTTTCAAATTTCAAACAAACAATTATTTGATTTATTTAATGAGATGATTAAAAAAGTTATTGACTTCTGTCTTAATAAAATAGAAAGTTAAATCGAATCTCATTCCCATAAATAAAGAGATTCACTTTTCTCTTGAAAATTGAGAGAGTAAATTGTACATCCTTGTGGCCATAATATAGAAGATTATTGCCTTTCAAAAATTAGAGATTTTAAATCCAAAATCTTAACATAAATTAGAAGATTCACTTACCCTTTTATATGTATATATATATATATATTAATATAAAGTAGCATTTTTGTAAAGACTATACTCTTTATCATTGGCTCGATAAATTGTCGTGCCCGACATGTTGACCATGAGTTCATGCCAGAACTATAATCGAACTTGTATATTACACCAGTCAATACATGTTCAACTATATAATTGTTTTGCTCAGCAAATCCGAGCCCAACCTATAAACGATAGGGCCCGTCGAATTCATCTCTTGCGTTCAACTTTGTTAGTTCCAATTTATATAAAAACTAGTGTGTAGCCCGTGCGATGCACGGGTAAATAATATTAAATACTAATTATAACTTAAAGATGATAGTAAACAATATTAACTCATAATTATAAATTAAATATGAGAGTAAACAATATTAATTAATAATTATAATTAAGATGTGGAGTTCATATGTGCCATAATTTATCGTATATCAGATGTAAACAATATAAAATTATCTTGTATAAAATAACATAAAAAATGTATGTTTAAAATATTAAAAACACCTAAAATATTATATAATGTATGTAAAGTATCTAAAATTTTATATATCCTTATTGAAAGATGTGAAGTCACCTAAAGTTTTTCTAAACTATTTTATAAATAAAACATGTTAAAATTATTTAAAAAAATCTTACCTACAATATATTATTCAATTTCCAAAAAATGATGATAAGTATAAGTTTGAATTTTAGAATCCACGTGAGTATTAATTTTTAGATTCGTGTACTATACAAATTATTCATGATGTTAATTTCCTCTTAACTTCACGTTGATTTATTGATTCTATTTTATTTACAAACAAAGTTGATCGTCTAATTTTGTTTACCATATTTTCATGGATATTTAACAAAGTCGATTGCATTTATAAAATGATTTGGATATCAACATAAAATTTATAATGGAGTTTTCAAAATTGTGTACTATTAACAAATAATATATTATCATTAAATATATTTTTTTAAATGCACAATTATTGAGACTGAGAATTTAAAAATTATTTTACCTTTTGAAACCGAGTATAAAAAAATAATAGATTGGTAAAAAAAATAATAATAAACGTTACCAAGTTTATTATCACACGTTCCAAAGAAAAAAATTGTGATGATTAATGAAAAATGATATGTAAAGAATAGCATTCAATATCTTTTTTTTAAAAGGCATAAATATAAAGACCAATATTCTAAAATTTTATTACCTTTTGAATTGAGATTTTATAAATATAGAGACTTAGATTTTAATGTTACTCGGTGTTTATATGAAAAACGATAAAAATAAAAAATGCACACTTAATAGATCTTAGCTGGAATTTTTAAATAATAAAATGAATTAAACCCAAAATTAATGCAACATTTAATGTTAGTATGATTTTTTAAAGATAAAAATATAAAATAAAAAAGACTTACTATTTATAGGTTGCATTAAATTTTCTCCTATTTTTTTGCTACTATTTTTGTTAAATATTAATTCTTATTATATATATATAGATTGTATAATACGAAAATAATAATGCAATAAATGTTGTTGACTTTTCTTTATATTAAATCTGGTAAATGGTATACCTTTTAATATAAGTATAGATATATTTTAATTAACTGTCACGTGGTGAGTATAATAATAATAATATATAATTTATTTAATCAACTGATTACGTGCATACTATAATAATAATAGTAATAAACAATGGATAGCACACGTTTTGAAAAGTTAAAGGCAATCAATCAATTCACATGAATTATAGGTGAGATTAATGAAAGGTGAGATAATATCCGTTCATTTATATAACCTAGTGTGAAAAGGACATAAAAAAAAGTGCGAAAAGGACATCAAAATTACTAATTTTAGTAAACATTTAATGCAGACAGGATGTTGACTAAGAATTGACCTACTAATTTTTATTATATAAGTATAGATTTTGTTCAGCTAGATTTGAACTCGTTTCCACCTACTACTTTTGATATTCGAAAATTAATGAAAGGATTGAAAAATAAAATTTGTAAAAGGCTTAATTGCACATAAAATTATCACCTTTAATTGAATTGCCTATAAAACTCATGCTTTCTATCTTTGCAAATAACTACTCCATTTTATGTGTTGCAAATCTTTTTTTAAAATCATTTTACGGCAATCCCGAGCTGACGTGTCCGATTAAAATTCTTACATGGCATTTATGTTTAATTGTGTGGCACTGATGTTCAAACACATCAGCTTTAATTAGCACACATCATATAGGACCTGAACCATTTCTTCAACCCCAAATTTTTGCCTAAGAAACATAATTTCACTCCTCAAACTCTAGTTCACGCACAATCCTCTCTCTCCCTCGTGTTGTTGAGCCATTCTAGCGCGGTATAAGTTTCATGAGCGATTTACTTTTACAAGAACATGGGATTCGATTTACCCCAAAATTTTCAAAAGATGAAATGAAGGTTCTCGCCAATTTTGCTCAATTTGTCGTGTTCGATTTTTTGTATGCAAGAAATTGGTGTTTTTGTTAAAAGGCAAAACATCGAACGACGTCGTTTTCCATTAGTGGTGTGGCAAAATGATGCCATGCAATTAAACATAAATGTCACGTAAGAATTTTGGTCAGACACGTCAGCTCGGGGTTGTCAAAAAATAATTTTGAGATAAATTTGTTGCACATAATAAAAATGGAGTATTTAATTGCAAACATTAGAAAGCGTGAGATTTATATGCAATTTTATTAAAGGTAAAGATTTCATGAGCAATTAAGCCTTTGAAAAAATGTACACAATTTTAATACAAAGAGTTTCTACTTGTTGTGGTGTTGATCGAATCATCAGCAAGAAGAGAGAAATTTAATATGAGAATTACTTATTATTGATTGATATTACTTTTAATTTGCAAAGACATTTAGTTGCTTATAATGTATTTAATGACACACATGCTGTTTTTTTCTTACACTTTAATTATGAACTATTATAATATTAGTCTAAGATTTTATTTATTTTTTTTTTTTTTTTTTTTCNTTTCATTTTCATTATGATGGTAGATTATTTTATATTCAACGAATTTATATATTCTTAATATTTGTGTTCCAAAGAAGTACCAAAAACCCAGGTCGCATTTATTAGGGAGGCCGTAGACCTTTTAGTTAATCACACACTTTTGAATGTAAATTACTTTTAGTTAATCACTTGAAAGGTGCTAATATTTTGTTAGAAGAAAGTGAATTGAGATTTATGCGATATCATGAAAACGGTTACAATATTATTGTTGTTACATTTTCCTTTGTGAATTTATGCAAATGATTAAAATATTGTTGTTCTTCCACTCTCCTTTGTGAAATTATTATATCTTACTTTATGAGAATCAGAATTGATCAAGAAACTTGAAGCTATGATATATGATTGAACTCCCATTTTCTAACAATATATTCATAAAACTAAAGGTCCTTTCAAATTCATGCTCGAAGGATTATACTTTTGAATTATAATCGAAACATCGATTCCTGCTCTTTTATTTGGTCTAACTAAATACGAAAGAACAACTAAATAATTATAATAATAACTAATAAAAACTAAACAAAGAATACTGATTTTTGAAGCTTTAGCTCAACATGAATTTTTTAATGGCCAGCTGGCTTCTAAGCAAGTGCCAAATTAGGTGTTAAGCACATGGTTAATTCTTTAATTACATTGTCATAGTAGATATCCCCAAAGTCCTAAGTACTCGTATAGCATGTTCATTTAATGCACTTGATCTTCCTCTCTTGTCCACCCTTTTTCTTGTTACTATTTTCTCACTTTCATTAGACTGGAATATTAGGTGTGATTAGACCATCTTCAATCATATTCTATACTCTAATGTAGAGTTTACTCCACTCTAGAGTAGAGTATGCCGAAATTTAATTTTCGTCTCCAGTTGTTTGCGCTAAATTTTACTCTATATAAAATACATTAGTACAAAAAAATATATATACAACTATAAAATCAAAATTAAAGTTATTTAACAAAATAAATTATTTTATTAATGTATAATTTGTCAAAACAATATATAGAATACGAATCAATTAAAAGGAAAATAAAATTTTGAACAAAAATTGTAGCGCGATGAATAGTGTCACGCATGTTGCGCGACACTGTTCATATCTTCAGAGTAGTGCAAAAATGTAACGCAACATTGGAGGGAATTTTTCGCACAACTCTTAAGTAAAGTTGTATTCTAGCACATATTGGAGATGGTCTTATCTCAAGAGCCCCTCAAATGTGTAGTGAGCGATA